CCCAACCAGGGATTGAACCTCTACCCCCTGCCTTGGAAGGCAAAGTCTTAACTACCAGACCTCCAGGGAAGTCCCCTTATACCTTTTTTTTTTTTTTTTAAGATTCCACTACATGATTCTCAACTGCCCCCGATACCACCACTGCCACATTCCCATCAGGTGGTCACCCTGGCTTCTGTTTGGATGCCCCCAATAACTGAGCACTCACTACCTCCAGGCACGAAATCATCTAGGAAACTGTCTACAGAGTTAGTTGTCTGTGGAGCTTGTTGAAGTTAGAGTCTGGCTCCTGCAAGGGACAGTCTCAGACCCAGGTCTGTCATCTGGAGCCACACAGAGAAAACCCAGTCCATCTCCCCACTGCCAGTAGCCTTTCAGCTATTTGAAGCCTGCTAGTCATTTCTCCAGCATTTCCCAGGCTTGTCACGGCCTGCTCTGTCACTGTTTGCAAATTCTTCCCCAACCCTTTGGCCTTCTGCACCTCACCTCTCTTGAGCCCTGGGCTTGCCAATACAGGTGAGGGCTGACCACACGCCAGAGCAGGACCACCTGCTCCCTTGCACAAACACTCAAGATAAGCTTTTATTCAGCTGCTGAGTCACTTGGCTGATTCATATAGAATTGATCTTTTTTTGGCAGATGCTGCTGTTGAGTCATTTTTCTCCCATTGCAGACTTAGGTGGTCAGGTTTTGGGGTTTGGGGCTTGACTTTTTTTCTTGGAGTGGGGGAACCATTGGGGAGGGGGCAGGGAGAAAGTAAGGAATTTTACGTTTAGCTGTGCATCCCTTTCTGCTTTACCCACCATTTCTCCCCTGTTCAGTGGTATCTTTGTTATGCACCCACACCACCACCACCATCATGGTCCAGCTCTGTGCCAGCAGCTTAACTACCACTGATGGAAATGGAACAAGCTAGAAATGGATGAAAGCAGTAAATACTCCATGGCCTATAATTAAGATTCACCCTCCAGGCTCTAATTATAATTTGGGTGTATTCAGTCATACAAAAAGTAATGGATAATAAAATCATAAGTGATAAAATCGGCCTAGAGCTGATGCAGAGGCATCCTACTGCTTTTTCAGTCCTGCCCTAAGTCCAGAAACATTGGCTCCATCCACTATGTTTCCCTTATTTTCCCAAATAGGATCTCTTTGGGAAAAGATCTGATGCTAATCTCTCTTGAGTTGCTTATCATGGACCTACAAGTAGACAAATATTACTTAATCTTCACTATTAATCCTTTATTGATACAAGAGATTCTGAAATTGGGATTGTAGGGTAAAAGAGAATGTGTCATCTTAATGTTAATATATACAGGCTGATGGTAGCAGCAACTCTCACTGTCTCTGAGAAAACTCACTTTCCATGTGACCATCAGTCTGGATGCAGTCGTCCTTTTGAATGTTTGCCACTGGTGGGTGAAACTGACATTTTGCTCTCTTACTTTCTTTGTGTGTTTATTGTTTTCAGCTAGCTATTTTAAAATAAAGTTTCGTTTTCTATGACTTGCTTATTCACATTATTTGTTTGTTCTGTTGGGTTAGTCATCCTTTTTTGCTTTGAAGTATATTGATTTACAGTGCACCCCCTTTTTCTCACAATGTATAGGAGCTCTTTGAATAAATGATGTAATCCTCTGTGTATTGCAGATGTTAATGTTAATGTTAACATTAAGCTCTCATGTCTTTTACCTTTCATTATGGAGGTTCTTAAAATTTTTTTGTAGTGAAATTTCCTTATCTTTTCCTTTATAGTTTCTAGGTTTCCTGTCTCACTTAAGAATGTCTTCCTCTTACTAAAATATAGACAGTTAAAAATACTGTGTCACTATGTTATACACCTGAAGCTAATATTATTGACTTAAATATAAAGTCAACTATACTTCAATACAAAATAAAAATCATTAGGTAGATGTCTATTATGTATTACATGCCCAAATATTGCATGGTGTAGATTGGGTATAGTTAGATATAGATAGATAAACATCAGATAGATATTAATAAATAGATATAGAATTGAAGATAAGTAATATAGATGATAGATACAACTGATGATAAACAGAAGATAGATAAATAAATAGACATAGAGAGATGATGGACTTCCAGGTGGCGCTAGAGGTAAAGCACCTGCCTGCCAATGCAGGAGACATAAGGGACACGGGTTCGATCCTTGGGTTGAGAAATCCCCTGGAGAAGGGAATGACAACTCACTCCAGTATTCTTGCCTGGAGAATCCCACGGACAAAGGATCCTGGTGGGCTACAGTCCATGGGGTCACAAAAGAGTCAGACAAGACTTAGCAAATTAGCACAGCACATGTAGCATAGAGAGATGATAGATGATAGATATAATAGACAGTAGGGCTTCCCTGGTAGCTCAGCTGGTAAAGAGTCCTCCTGTAATGCAGGAGAACTGGGTTCGATCCCTGGGTTGGGAAGATTCCCTGGAGAAGGGAAAATCTACCCACTCCAGTATTCTGGCCTGGAGAACTCTGTGGACTGTATAGTCCATGGGGTAGAAAAGAGTCAGACAGGACTGAGCAACTTCACTTTCAGATGACAGATAGATGATAAACAGAAATGGATAGATAAGGCCTTATCCTCAATGGAATGGTAACGTGACAGAGTAACGTAATGCTTCTCTGGACAAGTCTTCACTCAAGAATGTTGACAGATTCCCACTCACCCCACTCCAGGAATTGTTTATTACTTTAAATGGAGGCCAATAGGGAAATGGGTTTTAGATTTTCCTTTATGACCAATGTGGCTTGAACCCTGTTCTAAAATACACTGGACTAACCCTCTCTTCTTTTCAAGAATATTTTACGATGTGCAGTGCGGGTGGTACCGTGGTAAGGGACTTTCTTGGCAAACAGGAGCATGGAATCTCAGCCACTGGACCACTAGGGAAGTGTCCAACCCACATTAGATTGTGATGTGAGAAATAAAATTTTTGTCCTGTTAAGACAGTAGGTTGTCACAGCAACTGCTATAAGGGGAGGGAATGTCTACATTCAGAAAACAGGCTTTCCTATTTGGTATATGGAAAAAGGAGTCAGAGAGGTTTAGAAGGAGAACTGGAAGTAAGTAACCTAGAAAAGAAGAGCATTTCAAGAAAGAGCTACTTTGTGATGGTTTGTGATGGTTAGTTTTCTGTGTCAACTTGGCCAGGCTATGAAACAAGATATTTGGTCAGTCATTATTCCAGATGCTTCTAGGTGTGAAAATGTATTTCAAATGGGATTAACATTTCAATTAGTCAAGCAGAATACCATCCATTGCATGGTGGGCCTTGTCTAATCAGTTGAAGGCCTCAAGAGGAAAAGAGTCTGACCTTTCCCACAAATGAGGGTATTCTGCCAGCAGACTGCCTTTGGACTTGAGCTGCAACATCGACTCTTCCCTGGATCTCCAACTTGCCAGCTGTTGGTTCTATGTCCCTGAAGCACCCTGCCTACTACAGTGTTATTCCACAAAATGGCGAAGAAGAAAAAGATTTTGAAAAGGCTCTTCTATTTGGCAACCAGGAGGAGGGGAGCAATTTCAGCGAGCACTGAGGTCTGAAGCTCTATTTTAAGAAGGAGAAATGGAAGCAAAATCCTAATGCTGAGAGGAGCATGGGTGGGGGAGGAGGGAGTCAAAGGCATTAGTGGAGGAATTGAGTTTTAGGAGAAAGAATTGTTTTTTTTTTTTCCTGAAGCAGTAAATAGAAAAGTGTTTGGGGAGCTCCCTGGAAGTCTTTATTCCAAGCAAATCACAACATTGCTCAAGAACTGAGATGAAACAACCCAAGTTCCCATCAACAGATGACTGACTTAAGGAGATGTTCAGCTCAGTCACTCAATTGTGTCTGACTCTGTCAGCCCTTGGACTGCAGCACGCCAGGCTTCCCTGTCCATCACCAACCCCTGGAGCTTGCTCAAACTCATGTCCATCAAGTCGGTGATGCTATCCAACCATCTCATTCTCTGTCATCCCCTTCTCCTCCTGCCTTCAATCTTTCCCAGCATCAGGGTCTCGTCTAATGAGTCAGTTTTTCAAATCAGGTAGCCAAAGTATTGGAGCTTTCAGTTTCAGCTTCAGTCCTTCCAATGAACATCCAGGACTGATCACCTCTATGATTGAAGGAGATGTTAAGCCGATCTTATAACTTAGACATAAAAAATGAAAGACCACCACCAATGAATGGACATAGAGAGTATTATCCCTACTTAAGTAAGTCAGACAGAGAAAGACAAACATTATATGATATCATGTATGCTGCTGCTGCTCAGGCATGTCTGACTCTCGAGGCTCATCTATCCATGGGGATTCTCCAGGCAAGAATACTAGAGTACGTTGCCATGCCCTCCTCCAGGGGATCTTCCCAGGGAGCAAACCCAGGTCTCCTGCATATATAACTGAATCACTTTGCTGTATGCCTGAAACTAACACAATATTATCAACCAACTATACTTCAGTATAAAAAAAGGACTGGGGTGGGACTTCCTACCTTCATTAATACATGGAAGTTTCCACCAGTAGTGATCATGTTTTTTTCCTCCAAATGACCTCTGCTCTTTAGTGATTTCCTTTGACTTTCAACATAAGTACAGTATATGTGCCACAAGCAACTGTCCCCACACTTTCCCCACCCCAACTCAAGTTAAAAACAGTTTTAAGCAGTCTCCCTAGCCCATCCCACCCCGCCCACCCTGTCTGGTGCCTCTGCATTCAAGTCCCAGCTGAGCCACATCCTAACAGTTCCAAAATCTGGTCCCCCAGGGGAAGTCATCCCAGTTGGCCCTGGGTTCGGCACTCTGGTTGTTGATAGAAATTGCCTGAAGTTGCAGCTGAAAGCTCTCACCTGAAGGCTGGTGTAATTTCTAAGGAGTCGATCTCCCTTCTTCATCTGTGATCTATGATCATGATCTATGATCATCCTTTACCCCCTCTTTCTCCCTCCTTCCCTCTCTGAACTACTCTGGTACTTTGGCCAGTGGGTCCCCAGCTCTTTCCTACCTCTCCGCAGTGCTGGACTCCTCTTTCCAGAGTCCTTCTGGAGCAGGAGTTCATCCTCTGAACCTCTTCAGGCCTGGGTCCGACTCTGCTCAGCCAGGCCCCATCTGTAGTCACACACCGGCATGTTTCATTTCTCTGAGGCTGCATCTGCATTACCATAGCAATACCACAGGATACACACACCCTCCGGTCCCAAGGGGGCAAGGAAGTGTGGGAGAGGGCACTCTTGCGTACAGAGTTAGGACCTTTTCTCACCAGACATCTTGGATATAGCCAACTAAAGAAAGCATGGAGAAAGCCAAGGGCCATTTGTCTGTTCTTTCTTTTTACAAATATTTGGGTAGCTTCTGTGAGGGGCAGGATGGTGCGCCCTGGGGAGAAGGACAAAGATGCTGGATTCAGCAGCCTCCCTGGGTTCAGATCCCGACATCTCCACTTAGAGCAACATGATGCTAAATGCAATATCTATCCTCTGAGAAATGAGGACCATCATAGTACTTATCTCCTAGGACTGCTATGAGGATTAAACCCATTAATACACAGGTAAACCACCTAAAGGACCCTTTGGGGTGGCTATCTCCCTAGTGTTTACAAAGCGCTGTCCTGATCCATGCCATAGTATAGGAGACTGCGGTTCGTGTGGCAGACTTGGAATCCAGATTCAAAGCCCCAGGAGTACATCATGACTACTACTAGGTAGGCAAAACCCTTTCTGAACCTTGGTCTCTTCACCTGTAAAATGGGCAGCAGGTTCTTGGCTCCCTTTCTCAAGGTCATGGTGAGGTTCACCTGAAATCATGGAGAGGATGCGCTGTCTGATCTGAAACTTGCCATTGGGAAGTAGACGAGATTAGAGAGAGCTGAGCATCCCCCTTTCTGATTGGCTCAGATTTGTGAATGGGGGGGCAGGGGTGGGAGTGGGGATGTGGGGGAATGGACTGTCCTTGGCCCCTTCTCGGTTCCTAGGCTTAGGAGAAAGCTTCCCTGCCCCTTTGGCCTGACCTACTTTACTCCAACCTCTGGAGGAGGAAATGGCAACCCACTCCAGTATTCTTGCCTGGAGAATCCCATGGACAGAGGAGCCTGGTGGGCTACAGTCCATAGAGTCGCAAAGAGTCAACAAGACTGAGCACACACTGGCACTTTACTCCAAGGGCCAGATGGGGGTGGGCGTGGAGGTGTGAAGATGGAGACAATGGAGAGGGCAGGCCAGGTGGTCGCACCCTATAGTGGGTCTCCCCCTGCACCATCCAACCACCACACTTGTCCCACCACGGCCTTTGTCACATCTCAGCACGTTTACTTGTTAAATTGCTGTCTTTCCTCACACCATACAACCACAGGGAGACCTGGACGGTGTGGAATGTTCCCCACCCTCCCAGAGTTTGGGGCAGGACCTGGCCCATGGCTGGTACTCAGTAAGTGTCCCATCAGAGAGGATGACTTGTGAGGCTCTGGGTGGAGGGACTCTGGGGAGATCACCACTCCTTGCCTGAGGCCCATTTCCCTCAGACATCCTCACTGTTTACACCAGAGGCCCCTCCAGGAACAAAATCACACAAGCTGGGAGGGCTCGGGGCCCAGTATTCTCTGGCAGAAAACCGCATGGACTGGCCACCCAAAGCCACTCGCTCAGAGTGGCAGAGCTGGGGTGACCAGCCGTCCTGGTCTGCCCCCCCTGGGACTGAGGGGTTCTCCGGGATGCGGGACTTTCAGTGTCTAAAGGGGGACAGTCCCAGACAATGTGGGGTGTTAGGGCTGGCACCGGGGGATCCTAACTTCTCCAGTCCGTCTACCCCTCAGATGGGTGAGAAAAAAAAGGCCCGGGGGAAAATCCAGAGCCCCCAGGCACCAGGCGGCCTTCCCTGGGTCTCCCCTTTCCCTCTCCCCGATGTAGCGGCAGCCGGGCCGGGCTCGGGGGCTTGCGCACCGCGCGGGGGCTCCGGGGGGCCGGGCGGGGCGCGGGGACCATCATGGGCCGCACAAAGAGGCCGGGCAGCGGCAGTTTTGAAAAGAGCAAGGAAGTTGATCTGGGCCGGGGCCCAAGCAGTGACGAGGAGGGAGGGCGCGAGGGCGGGCGGGCGGGCGCGCGGGGCCAGGGGCGGCCGCAGTCCTCGCCTCGCCGGCCTCCACGGGAAGCGCGCGGCGGGATGGGCGGTGGGGCGCTGCGCCCCCAGCCGGCGACCCCGCGGACCCTCCCCTCGGCGCACCGCCTCCGCAGCCAGGGCTCCGGCGCGACTCCGGCACCGAGTCCCACTCCCGCGGGCGGCGCGTAGGGAGGCGATCGATCGCTGCCCTCCGGGAACCCGCAGGTTTCAGCTCGGGGTCGTACGGCCGCCGAGCCGCCTCCGGCCGAGCCCGCCTGAGGCCTCGGAGCGGGGACCATGAAAGGTAAGCCCGCGCGCGGGAGCTCCGAGGCGAGCCCCCTTGGGGCCCTCCACCCTGACCGGGCGCGGCGGGCATCTCTCGGCGGGCGGGCTGAGGACCGGAGGACTCCTCTGGGGAGGAAGGCAGGGGCTTCCCTACCCCTTTCGTATCGTCTGGAGAGAAGTCTTAGGAGGACAGGATAGAGCCCTGAAGTCCAGAGGAGGGGGAGAGGAGAGGAGAATGGAGAATGTTCTTATCTGTCATTGCTCTTGCCTGAAAAGCCATTGTAATTTCCAGAGAAGTTTTTGATCCCTTTAACCAGTCAGCACCGAAGTATGCTACAGCCCAAACCTTCTAGCAGTGTCGACTTCATCTAGCACACCCATCTCACAGTCTGCTGCAGCCCCCGTCTAGCCAATTACCCCATGGGATCCTCCTCTGGGAGCTTCAATCCCAGCAGAGACCTGCTGTGACAGTTTCTTAGCCCAGGCCCTGCCCTTCCCAACCTCTGAACCCTGCCTGACCTACCTGTGACCTCCTGGGGACAGAGCAGTGGCCGGAGATCAGCGGCCCAGGCCTGAGCTCTCCCTGGGCCAGTGAGCATCACCACAGTGGTCCTTGCAGCCAGTTCCTGGGATGGAAACAAGAAGCAAACCTGGTCCCAGATGTTCATCCCTGGACCCTGGCTTTCTTGAGACCAGGGAGAGTGGACATCTGGGCTTCATGCTCATTCTCAGGCTAAGGGAGAAGCCAGCTCTGGAATCATACTGTGAGTCTGGAAACTTTGAGGTTTGAGCCTGCCTCACCTACTTCATGCTAATCCTTCCATAGGAGCCAGGCAGATGCTTTTGCTCCTAGCACCTCTTCCACTTACTGAATGGTAGAACGATCAAGGGCTTGTGGGTCATCCACAGGGCTTTCCACTATGTTCTCGTGGGGTGTTGGCAAAGCAGACTTGTCCGCCATAGAAGGGTTCAGGGTTCCTGTGAGGAAAAGGCTTCATGGGTAAACCTGTGATTGATGACAGCCTCCATGATGTGTGGTTGGGGAAACTGAGGCCCAAGCAGGTAGGACTGGCCTCTTGGTTGGATCATCTGTGCAGTCCCCCAAGGTCCCAGGGCCGTTCATGAGGTTCAATGGCCTACTGTTGCTGTCTTAAAATTATTATTATTTTAATATTTTTTTGGCATGTGGGATCTTAGTTCCCTGACCAGGGATTGAACCCATGCCCCCTGCAATGGCAGCATGGAGTCTTAACCACTGGAGCACCAGGGAAGTCCCCTGTCTTGAAATTATTAATAATTTTTTAAGCAACGGAGCTCAGCAGTTTTATTTTGCACTGGAACCTGCAAATTACACTGCTGGGCATGTGGATGAGAGAAGGGACTTGCATAAGAGTCACAGCCAGTCGGGGGGCCAGCCCAGGGCTCCTGACCTCCAGGCCCGTGTGCTCACTCATACGTGCATCCCTCTCCCTTCCCTCCAGTCTCTGGTCCCTCTGGTCTCTGGTCCTTGGTGGCCTCACCGTGTCTTGAGCTTCCTGGGATGAGGCGAGCAGGTTATCACCAACTCCAGGGAGTTCCCTTAGCAGTAGAGAGGGGCCTCCCTTACTGAGCTCCTGTTATCGGCTCCCACATCTTTGGTGCAGTCCTGTGCCTGGTCAGTGACCCTGGGGAGGTCATTACCAGAAGCTTCCAGAAAGGTCTGAGACCACCACTCACCACAGGCTCGGAGCCCACGCTGCTCTGAACCTAGGTAATGATGGTAAGACGCCGCACGTTCTCAGAGAGGTTTGGCTCCACCAACATTGCAGAAGAACGCTTGGGGAGAAAAGATGGTGAGGGAAAGACAGGCAGGGCTGAACACCTCTGACATGGAGGAGACGCCCAGTTCTTGTGGGGGTGGGAGGCTTCCCTGGTGGCTCAAATGGTAGAGAATCTGCCTGCAATGTTGGGAAACTTGGGCTTGACCCCTGGGTCAGGAAGATCCCCTGGAGGAGGGCATGGCAACCCACTCCAGTATTCTTGCCTGGAGAATCCCGTGGACAGAGAAGCCTGGTGGGCTACAGTCCATGGGGTCACAAAAAGTCAGACTAAAAGACTAACACCCACACCCAAGTCCTGGGGAGGGAGTTGGGAACACAGGACCTTCCTTTCTGAAAGTCAGTGAGGCAACAACACTCCTCTGAGTGGAGGAGGAAAAGGAAAGAGCTGGTATGAATGGGCGTTTAGAGGAGGTTGCTGAGGAGGACTGGCTTGTTGGCTGGGAGGCTGTGGGCTCCAAGTAAGAAGCCTGAGGCCTGCCCTTTTCTCTCAAGGAGCAGCCTCACCACCATAGGGGGCTGAATTCCTGTTTGCTGAGGCCTTCAGGGCAGCTCTTGTATATTTTTCCCCCAGTTTTGGGAAACCTTCCACGATCTCCCATGACAGCCCGGGCCTCAGAGCTGCGGGTGTGTTCCCATTACGCCTCCCTGCAGAGTCTCCCTCTTTGTCTCCCTCGTCCTCCCCGGGAGCCAGGAAGAGCTGCCACCGCTACCTGAGATGGAAAAGCCAGGCCAGGCAGTCAATATTTGGCCCTGGGGAATCTGTGGACTGTGAAGAATCAGAACTTTTTTTTTTCTCCACATGGAAAAAGGAAAGTGCCAAAAAAACGGGCCCGGCCCCTTCCAGGATGGCCCTTCCCCGGGGGAAGCTAGCTTCGAACTCTCCCACCAATCTGCCACAGATCTGAGGATTACATGTGTGGGCAAAGGCTCACCAGCCCCACTCAAAGCTAAACACGGTGATGTTATGCTTTGTGGGGGTTGGTGGGGACGGTACTTAGACAAGAAAACAGGTCTGCTAAGGAGTGCCACCGCCAGCAGCCAGGCGCCAGGCCCGCTCTGCCAGCCAAGCTCTTTCCACCCTGAGGCGCCTCCCACCGGCATGCCCACTGGCCCGCAGCCGGGCCTCCCAGGCAGCCGCATCTTTTGATGCAAGCCAGCCCCAGGCCCGCAGTCCAGCCCCTCTCACATCTGAGGGCACACAGCTGCCACCGCCCCTGGTGATGGGCCCACCTGGGAGCTGCCCACTGGCTTGTCTGAGCCTTTAACAGCCACCTGTGGAATTGTTCCCACATCTCCAGTGAGAGGGTCCCATGGCAAGAGCCCCTTCCAACCACATGAGGTCCCTGCGGAGCAGTTGGGTTCACTGCAGAGATGACTGATTTGAGAGTTAAGGACACAGGCTCTGATCCTGGCCACACATGAGGCTCTGGTCAATGTTCCCTTCTCCAGCCCGCCTTCCTCCTGCTGGTGGTCCCGAGGCCCGTCTTGCCCTGGTGCCCTGGGACTTAGCCCAGGAGCTTTGGGCTGAGGGCCAAGCAGAAGCGACTTGGTAAAGAGATGGTTAGAGACAGGCCTGCTGCATAGGTGCCTGTGCCCAGAGAGACTTGGCCTCAGCTTCCATAGATGGGCAGACCCACATCCTGCTGTCCCCCAAGCCTGGGGGAAGAGCCCTTTCCCATGGAATCGGGGAGCCATGCCCACACGCTGAAGGCAAAGGGCAGGCAGGAGGGCAGGGGGACTCAGAAAACAGCAGTGAGATCCCGGAAAATCTACCTCCCGCTGCTTGGCAGGGGGGATGTATCCATTCATGGACATGCAGACTGGGTCCCTTTTGGAAGCCCGACTTCATCCCCAGACCACAGGGCACTGGAGGTAGGTCTGACATGGCAAAGGTGCACAGAGTCAATAAAATGGCCTTTTGCAGGGATGAGGGGTGGGGGTGGTGCACGCTGGCCACCTTGCCATCCAGCTGGGGTAATTTTAATAACTGAAGACTCCCCTCTCAAGCTTATTTGGAAGAGAAGATAAAGAATTCTGCTTCTCAGTAGATGTTGGTGAACGGTTTGGCAGGTTTTGTAAAGGCCTTTGGGGGCAGTTCTTGTGTATCTTTCCCCCAGTTTCGGGAAACCTTCCACAATCTCCCTTGACATCCCAGGGCCCCAGCTGCAGAACAGAAATACACTACTATGTATAAAATAGATAACTAATGAAAACCTCCTATATAGCACAGGGAATTATACTCAATGGTGACCTAAGTGAGAAGGAAATCCAAAAATGCAGGGGACATATGTATACATTTAGCTGATTCACTTTGTTTTACAGTGAACACTAAAGCAACATGGTAAAGCAACTATACTCCAATAAAAATTAGAAAAAACAGAAGAGAACCAAGTAATCCAGGGGGATGTCATGAAGGCACCAGTGAATGGTACAGACAGTAGATTCCATAGAAATCCGAGGAGAGAAAGAACCTTTCACGTTGGGGCAGGTGGGGAAGGCTTTAGGATGTAGTAGAAGGTGAGCAAGGTCTGGATGGGGTCATGCAGGAGACAGGAAGGAGGGATGGGAAGCGTGTTGGTCAAAGCTGGGCGCTGTCATTGGGTGAGTGTATTCAAGGGTGATGGGCAGAGAGGTTGGCTTGGAGGTTGAGGGTTTGGCAGAGAAACGCAGCGAGCCACAGGACCAGGAGGCCTTGAGCACCATGCCAAGGACTCCAACTGTGTCCTGTTGACTTTGGAGAGGCCCTGAGCAGGTTTGTCAGAAGATGGCCTGCTTGCTAGTTCTGTAATGACATTCACCCACGTTGGGAAATCTCTACTTTTAGAGAAAGCCGTGAGGGAAGAAGAAAATGAGCCTGTGAAGGAGCCAAGAGGAGCGGTCAGGGACACAGGGGACGAAGGAGGATGGAATGTCATGGAAACTGAGAGGAGAAAGTTCCAAGAAGGAGGAAATGGTCAACAGCATTGACTGTTGATGGACAGGCTTTGCTCAGGGTTATTCAATCCTGAAAAAAACAGGTGGCATAGACCGAGAGAAGAGTGGGTAGGTTTGAAACAAAAACCCAGAGAGGCCTTGTGTTAGAGAAGTTTGAGAAAAAGAGAGCTAAGAGGTTAAAGTAAGAAGCAGGCCAGGCATGAAGAGATTTTCAAGGTGGGACTGGCCGGCTCATTGGAAGATCAGGGGAGAAAAGAAAAGAGGA